ATGACGAGATTAGTTGAAATCCGGGTGACAGCCTGTGTGTCCGAGGATCGAAGTAGCAGGGGCACTTTAGGGCTAAAAATTTGGAAAAGTGAGCGTGACCCAACGGCGGATCCACGGAAGGGAACTGAGGGAGAGTAGGGAGTGTTAGTGATTGACAAATAAAAAATCCTCCCTCAAGCCAGGCGCTGTAGCTTCACTCTAAGGGGTCGCTATTTTTAGGTTCCCATACATTTAACATAGGAATTTTCGTTTTTTCATTCAAGTTGAAATTTCACCAACTAATTTTCGTTTTTTAAAAATAATCATCACATATTCAGAAGTTGGCTGCTCAAACTTTAAAAATTCCAGCGACCAAATTATTATTCCTAGAAACTTTTTTTATTTTTATTGAACAAATTCCAAATTTTAAATCACTTTGTTTAATCGTCTAATCAAACTTTTTTCAAATTTAACCTAAATTTGGAAGAAAAGAATTTAACTGTAATCATTGAATGCCTAGTTAGACGTTTTGGAAAAATCTTGGCCTTAAATAAAGAACTGCAAAAACCGAAGCTCAAAGCAGAAGAAGCGTTTTTTCAACAGCAATGGAAAAGGAAAATGACTACGAGAACACAAATGCTTTTTGCATTAAAAACCCTCAGCACTGCGATAAGGATCTACGTACATACATCCGTCGATTCATATTCTCCTTCAGATACTCTGCACTTTGCCAGCCACAAATGCCAGCGACGAACGATCCTTTTCTTCTTTGCGCCGAATCAAGACTAGGCTTTGAACAACGATGCTCCCGATGCTCCAGGAAAGATTAAACGGCTTACCACTCCTCAACATAAACTACGTCATTACTGTGACATTTTACACTAGAGATGGTTTGCGAGGGATTTATGGTAGCCGGATTAGGTGAAACCCAATATCTTCAAACCCGCTAGAGTTTTTACCTAAATTTAGTCCATTTCTTTTTGCATTCACAGTGAGAAAATGGGCTCAATTGGACTACCACCAAGCCTTCTTCTCATATAGCACAAAATTGAATTATACTTCGTTTCCAGTATGCAAAACAAGAAACAATTAATATTACGAGATATTACTTTTCACAAATAGTGCTTTGAAGTATGCCACCTTTTACCCAAACCGAGCAAAAACTGTTCAAGCCCTCAGGTGCCGAATATGCGGACAGCAGAACTATTATCAGGATTTTCGAGCATCCGGCTGATTTTACTCCATACAATTGGTATTTATACTTATGTATATGTGAGGTACGGTGTGAATCCTAGAGAACATTATTTTAGTATGTGACACGTGTAGTCAAAAATAGATTTAAAAAAAAAAATCGGCTCGATACTACCTCAACTCCCATATACTACACATAATGATTCTCGTTTTTCTATCAAACCTTATGTATTTGTCAGTCGGATGACGTTTGACATGGATTATTGCAAGTAGCAAGAATATAAAATATTCGGTTGCACCCAAACTTAGCGCTTTCTTACTTGTTTTAGTATTTTTCGCTGAAACAAATTAAATGCGGCTATTCAAGTAAACCACCAAAATGCATGGTTGCGCGCAAAGATATCAAAAAAGAAAAAAAAAAAATTCAATGAACTCAAAGGGAGAACCTACTCTTTCTCCTTGCAACCTTTTTAACTTGAAATTTGGGAGTTGTTAACTCTCAGTCTTAAACTGTCTTACAGATTAAAACAAATAATTTCACTAATATGAATATGTATCAAATTTTCAAAGACGTGTACATTTTATTTTAAGTAAATTATTAATGAACAAGCACAACATTCCTTATAACACAAGAATAAGCTACATTGGGCGGCGAAACTTTACGCATGAAGCAAATTTTGAATGTCTTGCTGAATATAAAAATACCAAAAAAAACTGTGATGCACTTTTGTTCTAATTACATTTTTAATAGGAAACTAGCTGACACAGGAAGCGTTGATAAACTATATATGTACTTATATGAAAGATGTATGTCGAAAATAGTTCATACTTTTACCAATTATGGAAAATAAAAAAAATAATATTCTCTTAACGCAATGAAGTATACAACATTTTGTATTTAACAAATACAAATAAACTTAATAGTTTGCTCATGAGAGAAGATGCCACACAAAAATGTCCATGGGAAAGCACGATGTGCTTAAATCTAAACAACAAACAGACACTTGTCCTTGGGACTGCCAATTTAATCTCAAATTTCGTGCTTTTGAATTCAATTGGTCAATTTGTAGGGATCATGGGGATTCGAAGCAGCAATATATATGTATTCCCCTCATGGTAGGTTCAAATTGTGAAGCAAAATAACTAGAGGTTCAACCTTCCGATGTAAATGGTGCGGTGGCATGCCCGGCATATTTAAAGGATTCAAAAAGTAAATTCTTAATTCAATGTCCACACACATTTGATTTTATGCAACTAATATTTTCATAGATATGTACTTTTCGATAATCAATATCTAACAATTTTTCTTGCTCATGTTAGTTTTCAGTTGGACTTTTATGAAATTATGATTTTAAGGTGTTGGTTTCATCAGCGTATGTTTCAAATCATCTGAAAGGAGTTCCTTTTATATATTTCGTTATCTTATCCAATGCATCAAACGTTTGTGTGTACTATCCCAAATGACAAACTGTTTCAGCGCCGTGGTCATACTTTATCTGTGTTATTTTAAAAGTTAAATTACAGATTTAATGCTATATGAGTTGTTTTATCTACATCTCCTTCTTTGATTAATTTTTTAAACAGGAAATCGCCGAACACGCAAAACATGTATAACTTTTATTCATCTAAAAAAATAATAATAAATATGCTATAAAGCTGAAACTGTGAACACGGTTAGCACACCAAATTTCATCAAAAGCGATCCTGCCGTTTCAGAGGAGTTTGCCAGCAAACACCGTGACACGAGAACGTTGTATATTAGATTAAAAAAATATAATTCTTTACAAACAAAACGACCTTTTCATAAAATAAAACACAAATAGAAAAAAATAATTGATAAAAATCTACTAAGCATCGCTGTTGGTCGATAGATGGATCCAACAGTTAGTGGTGATCGATTTTGATATATCCAAAGCGTGATAAACTTAATCTAGACATTGAAAAAGAAACTGCTTTTCCACATTATTTGTCATGTACTTTGGGTTGTGGAAATAAATCCGAAATTTTGCGAAATAATAGCCATTTGCGGGAAGTGCTGATTTTCTCCTTTCAGTTAAAGAAATCGGCGGCGGAAGTACTCAAAAAAGTTTAGAAGCTGTGATTAGAAGGAAGGCCAAAAACCATCGAAGACGGTGAAATAGAGACGTTGCTCGATGAGGATCTATGTCAAACGCAATAAAAGGTTGCTTCAACAATGGCAGTAGGAAGCCACGCGACCATATGCGCTTGTTTCCATTTCGGTTACGTAGACCCGACAGTAGTAGAAACGGTACCTGCAAATGTTTTGCTGTATGGATCATGGAAACGTTTAAAATGGAAGTCCTCTCCCACCCGCTATATTCTCTAGATATTGCACCATCCGATTATTACTTGTTCCGTTCAATGGCACTTGGTCTTGCTCAAAGAAGTTCCACTCACAAGACGACATCGAAAAGTGGGTTCTTTCTTAGATAGCATCACACGATGAACAGTTTGACCGTAATGGTATTCAAGCTTTGAAATTATGACTGGCGATGTGCAATACTTTGTATAGTTAATTTGTAACCATTTCCTTTCAAATTTTGTTTTCATTAAAAAATAGCGAGAACTTAGTTGCACAGTTTGTAATGACATATTTTCTTACCTTGTGTAAATCAGTGCTCTGTGGTGACATATTGTGTTTAATTTGCGTGGAGCATAGTAAAATCAGTAATTTCTTAATAATGTAATCGTACATCGTAATCTTGCTAGAAGATCCACGTCCAACAATATATTGTTATATTAATAACGAGCCAAGATCATTTCCGCAAACATTAAGTTTCCTACTCCGGATCCACCCACAGCGCCCCAAAGCGCTGCATTTCCATTCATTTGCTTGACAAAAATGTTGTATTTGTTTATAAAAAAAAAAATTCCGGAAAATTTTGTCTTTATCTTTAAGCTTGTGAGCAAATTACAAGAGAAGTTTTCGTTTACTTTCACTAATAAGGGTTTCCTGCTTAGAGTTCTGTTAGTACATTTAAGTGGGGGGATACCTCTAGAATTTAAAAAAAAAAAATTAAAACAAAATGAGTCGCGCTAATCAATTGAAAAACTATTCAAAAATATAGTCACGAAGTTTCATTGGTTTACTACGAAGAACCACTGCGCTTCATGCAGCTGTTGTATAGGTACCAAAACTTTGGGCTCGTTTCGTCGAAGCCAACTCTTTTTTTATCCGGTCGTCGAAATTGCGAGCTATTTATTGAAAAATCGGCTGTGATCAGATTTTATTCCCCCATATTACATAAACCTTTTTTTGACAGTATTAGAGATATCACCTCTCTTAAACATAATATCATGAGTTGGTGGGTTGTTATTAATTTATTTTAAAATATAAGAGACATCTCTCCGACTCTGCTTCTCAGTTTTTTTGTTTTAAAATATGGTTTGAAGTACTGATTTGGCTAAATTTAGCAGCTTAGATATTTTACCAAAAGATTTATTCCCCCGTTTTATATTCTACAACCAGGTTTTGCATATCATTTGAAGTTTTTTCTAGAAGCCATTCTGAAATTATATTGAAATGAGCTTAACGCGAAGCGCAATGTAAAGCATAAACACGAATTTAAAAGAAAAGGTACTTTCCCGTTTCTTTGTAGTCTACAACAAGAACATAAAGTAGCCATGCGTGCCGCGTATAGACTTTTGTCAATGAATTTCACTAGTATATTGTGAATAGTTTGTTATGTTTGTAGTATAAGAAATTTTTAGAATTTTGTCGCCCGCTGTAAATCTTACGTATATAATTCAAACGTAATACTTAGAGATAAAATTAAGTCTACTAAAAAAATGTATAAAGAAAAAACAAATCGGAATTAATTCTCGGTTTATTAGTTTTATGACAAAAGACAACATTTAGCACAAAATAATATACATATAAGCACTAATTGTTATTAGAAAAAGAAATAAATTTAATCTATTCTCATCGAAGTTTTTTTTTTGTGCAATAGAAATCGGCGTTCATGGTTATCGTTTATTCAACTCATATTGTTATTTCTTTCATCGCGAAGCTTAGTAAGCAGGATTATTACTGATTACTTTAGGTGATAGTTTGGTGTATATTTTGACTTCAATCCATTTGTGAAAGTTCTGCTAGTGTTTCCTGTTTATGTCTATATTAACATTTTTTCCATAGTGGTATAAGGTTACGTCACTGCCATAGTGTTAAATTTAAAATTCGCACCATAAGTGAGAACTAAGTTATAACAGTTTAAATATAATGATATTCTGGCAATAGTTCGATTCCACGTATATGTGTATAGAAACATTTTATATTCGAAATCTTGGAGCTATTAGCATAATAATAAGGCATTTTATAAATTAATTTATCATATGTCAGTAATAGATTATAAAGCATATCTATAACATTTATGTATTTTTGCTTGATATAATAAAATAACATAGTTTGAAACATAATTCTTGTAACATTTTTTTAGACGGAAATACCATTTATCAACATATTGCTTTGTTTTCAGTATAACAATGCAGATTATCCTTTCTGCAGGTCCGCTACTTACTGGTATATGGTGGAGCGATACTTAATTTGCCGTATAATCCGTCTGAAAGTTAGTAGGCACGCAGTGTTGGCGTATTATACTTGATACCTAAATTTCAAACAAAAAGATCTAATAAAATAAATATAATATTTCAGTTGTATAAATTTATGAAAATAAGCAAAAATTCAAATAAAAATTCATAACATTTAGTTCAGTTTTTATTTTAGATATATGGTAAAGTGACCCGATAGCATCGGTTGTCTCAAATGAGCAGCTTGTTTGAGAGAAAATGAGGTGTGTAAATTTTATTGCTAAATCGTCTCAGTTCGTTGGTGACCATTTATATACACACTTTATAATGACTTCGACATTTACATATCGGTGTTACAAACTTTGTAGCTAACTTTAAATGCCCTGTTCAACTTAAATTTAACTTCCTTGCTAGCCCCGGCTACCTACTTCCTCCTAAAATTTCAATTGTGTTGAAAAGTCTAAAGTACCACTATCAACATATACTTGCTACCATATTTCTAAAAAATGGTTTACGATATAAGTAATTTGCGTTGGGTAGGTTGATACCGCTTTCAATCGATGAGGAAAAGGGACAAAGCGAGGACACTCAGCGAAATGGTTAAACGATTATATGTTTTTCATGGTGATAAATCTCACTTTCACAGGTTATTCGATAGATAAGGTGACGAAGATTCGCACCGGAAAGCGACGTAAATCAGCGAAATGGGTGAACGATTATATGTTTTTCATGTTGATAAATCTCACTTTCACATTACAGGAGGAATACCATTCGATAGACAGATAACGTGAAGAGATACGCACCGCGATTCTGGATCTATTGTAGCCGAGAATGCTGAGGTGTAAGTATAGAATCCGCTGTTACGAGAATGTATTGTCTCGGTAAAAACTCCCTGCAGTGCAAGTCGCCTCACCTGCGGGCTGACATAAATAGTTGGCATAACCCCTTGCAATTATAAATTACAGGTTTTTGAAGCATCTGATTTCACGTGGTTACTTATTATAATACTTCTCTTTTTTTTCCAAAAATGTTTTATAATATAAAAAAATATGTAACGTCACTAGTGGATGCAAAAATTGTTTGCATGGACGGAAATCTGTACACACAAATGTATTTAATTTATTATTTATGTTTAATGTTAATACACGATATTAAATATAGTAAAGTGGCATAAGTACCAAGGTATTTGAAAAATAGTAGCCAACTAATTTTGTTGAAATTATGTGATAAAGGATACTATTATTTGTCAACACGTAAACATAAGAAAAGGGTTTAAAGTTTCGAAAACAATAAAATTGATTTTAGCTTTACTGTACCCTAAAACTAAGTAAGGTTATCTTTACAAGAAGGGTTTCTACAAATAATCGTTCTTTATTCGAGAGTGTAGTAAAACTCAAAGACCCAACTTTAAGAATAGAAATTTTGATTAAAAAAGTGTATTATTTATGCATACATTCGATTTTAATAAAAAAAACAATAAATTTTCTCATCTTTATATATAAAAATTACGTGTCAAGTTCTTTGTCTGCGATGGACTCCTAAACTACTGAACCGATTTTAGTAAAATTTAGCACACTGTGTTCAGTTTCAACCAACTTAGAAGATACGATAGTATAAACAATTCATAAATAAAAAATACAGTGAAAGCTCTATTATGTGGACGCTCTGTTAAGTGGACAATTCTATTAACTGGATAGAAAGGCTCGCAACCAGAAAAAATTCGTTATTTTTTTAAATGAAATTTAATTGTATAAACACATTCAAAATTAAACCTCAAGTACAATCCTTTGGATTCTTATACCGACAAAAACGTTTTCGCCTTTATAATATATATCACAGCAACGCGTGGCCGGATCCACCAGTGTTAATATATGTATAAATAGCGACCCTTTGGAGTTAAGTATAGATAGATGGATAATAAATGCAGTTTGCGCCGCGATCTTTCTGTAACAACGACTCGCATAACCCCAGCACTCTGATATATTCCAAGATCTAGTGCATTAGTGCATTACAACAAGACCTTGATAGACTAGGGGAGTGGTGCGACGAAAATAAACGCTCTTTGAGTCGTCGTTCAGCTGTTTACCGATCATCATCTAGAAGAAGTCACAGTAGTAAAAGATCTTGGTGTCATGATTGACAATGCAGGACAATGCTTACAGGACACTTGGGTTCATATTCAGATGTGGGGATGACTTCAGGAATGCTGATACGTTTTGACAGTATAGGGTAACTTTTTTCGTCACTTTTTTAGTTCATAAACTTTAGACGCTCTTGTAGATCTAGTCGCCGACTCACAGATTATACTAAAATTATGAAGGGGACACTTCTTCACCCTGCTGAATGGCAGTGTAAATATAACACCAGGAGAAGGCGATTACCCGACCATGAAGAAATTCGAATAGCAATTACCCGTTTGAAGAACAACAAAGCGGCGGGGGCCGATGGCCTGCCGATAACTGATAAGGAGCATGCATCAGCTTCTTTGTAAAATAGGGTCGGACGAAAGCATGTCCAACGATTAAAATTTAAGTGTACTCTGCCCAATCCGCAAAAACGGGAGACACCACAATCTGCGCCAACTGCAGTGGGATAAGCCTCCTCAACATAGCGTATAAGTTTCTATCGAGCCCTGAGGTCGAATCGATACATCCATGCACGGATCGGCAAACAGACGAAAGAAAATTCCGTGATACGTCAATCGTATACGGTGGCTGGCATTATGGCATACGATAGCAAATGCATCGCAATTGTTTTTAATTCAGTTTTTAAAACTCATATTGCTTTCGATCGAACTAACAAAAGCTAATTAAATATCAAAATGGATCCGACTTTGTTTTTTATTTGAGCTTTAGTGAACGGGATGAAGATGAAAAAATAACGAGGAGGTAGGTAACAGACCGTAGTAGTTGCGAAGGTAAGAAAATAAACAAATAATAAAACCTCATTAAACAAGTTTTCTGTGTAGATGTATCGTTGGACGTAACATTGGAATCTCAAAAAGACGGTGGAGAATTTTAGGATAGAGCAAAAAAGGAAGATATCATCCCACAAAAGTGCCAAGATTTGCTAACGTTTATGCGGCATAACAAAACATATGCATAAACTTTAAAATAAGTTATGACCCTTAAAACTGCAGTTCTGATCACACACTAAAAGTAGAAAAAAGAAAAGAGACATTAAACTTAGTTGGAAAATGTATGTCTTTACCTTGTGATTTATTTTTAAAGAAGATAAACTGAAATACAAAACCTTTGTTCATATAAATTATTATTTTTTAATGAAGTATTCATTCATTGGTTTCTTGTTTTTGTTCTTTAAGACTAAAAATTATACAACAAATATGAAATTATTTTTATAATATTTTCAATTAAAATTGATATTGTGGTTGTTAAAGACCAATTTTTGCAAAACCATTTTCTATTACAAAAACATATCAACAAAACAGCTATCAGTGTTGCTTGTTTTTCATTCACAATAGATTGAAATTGACAATTTTTAACAATGCTGCCAACGAAAATGCAGCTAACTCTCTAAAATTTTGAGGATTAAGTGGTAGTTAGCAACAGAGTTATCTTAACTAATTCCTGAATTTATCGGGATTAATACTGCCGTCCGTCAATGCTGTTACGACTGGCATTTTTCATTCCAATGACATTTCGAACGAAGTGATACGTTCACGGATGTAACGATTCGATCCCTGGAAAATCTACAACTGACCTAAATGCCGCGATGTCTAAATTTGGTATCCACGCAAAACTAATACGGCTGTGTAAACTGACGTTGAGCAATACCAAAAGCACCGTCAAGATCTGGAAGGACATCTCCGAGGCGTGCAATACCAAACGAGGTTTCAGACAAGGGGACTCCCTTTTGTGTGACTTTCTCAATAGATGTACGACGACATTGAAATAGTTCAGCGAATTAAAAGACGGCGGCTACGCTCAGAATAGACGAAAACACTCGAGCTCTGAAAGTATTCGAAGCAGTACCCGTTGGGGAAGCAGAGGAAGACATCCACCGTTGAAAATACCAGGTACAATTTCCAGTTGGCGCGAAATTGAAGAAGAAACGAATGGCGCGCTGTTGTTAACTCTGCTATAACCGGCTAAGCGGTTTCCACGCCAGTTAATAAGAAGAGGCTTTGGACGCGTTTTTCTCAAAACTACTTTTTCAAAGTCTTTTTCAAAACTACTTGACCGATTCACTCATTGTACACATTTTTAGTGGAAAATAACAGTTTTCACTTTAAACTAATTTTAAAAATGAAGGCGTGAACATTTGCACGGGTATTCCTTCTGGAGAAGGTGCCAACGGCTAACTTTTCGCATTTATGTATATACTATATTTATACCTCCAGAACGGCTGAGCCGACTTGGCTTAAAACTGGTGATGAGGTAGCTTAAACCCGCAGGACGGATTTCTATCGTTTTATATTAAAAGCCAAAACAATTCATAAATAAAAAATATATATTTCAAAACATAAGCATGTGTTCAATATTCATGTAAGAAGCATTTCAATATTTTTTTGCTTCAAACATACAATCAAAAATTCAATATACATGACACAGCTACTGGCAGGGCACAGTGGTTCTTGTTTACATAATCATAAATGTATATGAGTTATAGTGTAAGTTGTGACTGAACAAGAAAGAGGAATCACAATTTGAGATAAGTGCATAATATTTAAAAAAACCAGCATTACAGATAATAATGCAATATTTAAAAGGAACGATCAAGACTGTGTTTTTTTACGTGTAGTATCTGGGTTTTATCCGTCGATTTTGCAATTACATTCGATGAATGTTGAACAAAAAATTACCATATGATTAGATATAGGGCGTGATCCGCGCCCTCTTCTGCTCTACTCCTGCGCTGTTATTCACTATAATAAGAATCATATATATGTGTAACGATGCAGAGACTGTGAAGATGTTGTTACTTAATACATATTTATGTATGTACTATTCGTTTAGTAATTTTTGAATTCAATAAAAAAATATAGGTTGCCAATTTAACTATTCCATTATATTTGACATGAAGGAGCAAGCGGAGCCGCGGGTTTAGACTAGTACCTTTTCGGCGATCTAACCCCGTTTGGATCGGTAAGTGTTAATATAAGTTTGTCGTCATTAAAGCAGTGCCTTGCAGCAGGGTTGCTTCGTATCCTCCTGACTCGTACTGGCTTTGAGTCCAACCCGGCCCGGAGAAATTTTTCTGCTGCTTTTACGCTTCAAGGCACCATCCAAACTGCACCTCGGTCAGGTGTAACACATGCAATGGATGGAGCCTTCTTAAGACCTGCTCAGGCCTTAAGGCACATAGGGATGGACCACGAGTTACGTGGCCCTATGTTTCCAACGTAATACGGCGACACTGTGCAATCTGTTCGCGCGCTGCGCCGTTATTCACCCCGACTGGCCAACAGAAGACCTCCACGGTCCCCAGGAGCTCAAACAGGCAACATAGCTCCCACTCTGACTGGCCTGTCAAACTATCGCAGGGGGATGGAGCTGACGGAATAGATTGACAATTCGACATTCCGCACAATGAATGACGAAGCCTCCACCAAAGTTATGAGCACCTTTAATAGCTCGCCTGTAATTACCATTGCTAGTGGTAGTCTGATAAATAACATAACCTCTACTCATAATTATCTCGATTGAGAAACCTCCCGATTTTGTTTCTGTGGACAACCGCACCTTCGTTAACTTTAACAAAGCTAACTTGGTCGGCTTTACAGAATTGACTACGAACACCTTCAATGCTCTGCCCATTTCTGCGGACGTACCCCTTAGCGTACGTCAATTAAGCAAGGTGATCGCTGCAGCTACCGCTCGCTTCATCCCGGCTGGAATAATAGCGGAATTCCGCCCTAATTTCCCAGCCGAAGCAGCCGTTTCCGCTAATGATCGCGACACCTTACGCCATGCCGATCCCGGATATCCCCGAATAAGGGACCTCAATTCTGAAATTTGGCGATTGGGAAACCAAAGTATTACAACCTCTCCAAAGGTGTGAGTAAGCTTTGAGCTACTGTCAAGGCTTCGTCTAACCTGAAGAGACATGATGACCGAATTACGCTGACCTCGTACGCTGAGGATTGCACGACATTGACGTCGGGCAATGAAATCGATGGCATGAGTTCAAAAGTAAACAGCTATCTCTCCAACTCTCGTTTCTTCTCTGAGTTCGAGTTGCCGCGATAAACGAGAGTGACCCTTGCCCAGATTCGTTCTGGATATTGTAGCAAGTTAAACTAGTACTTAAGACCCCGACATATCCAACATATGTCCTGCATGCAATGGGTATCCGCATGACTCTGACCACCTCTTTGCATGCCCCGCCAACCCCACTCATCTAACACCCCTTTCCCTTTGGTCCGACTCCGTCGAAACAACACGTTTCCTGTTCCTCCCGCTATATGACGTCGACGGCAACCTAGATAACACTTATCATCCCAACGGGGATTGATAACCGTTAGGACAACAACAACAACAACTAGTGCCTAATATAATAGAAATAATAGGTTGTTCATAAAATCTTTTTTGATGACTCATGCCGAGCTCTTGACCGATGCTACCGCTACTACTATGCCGGTCTCTTTCGACCAATTCAGCGATTTTATCGCAATTTTCGACGACAGGCCATCCGGAGCGTGGCGCTTCTTCGACCACCTCTACACCAGAACGAAAACGTTGAAATCATTGTTATGCGGTGGAAATGGAAACTGTATAGGTTCCATAAACTGCGCAAATTTTATTGGCGGCTTGAGATGCATTTTTGCCTTTATCTTAGTAGTACTGTAAAATATGCCGTATTTTCTCTTTATTTTGCTCCAGTTTTGCGACGCTATAACTCACGAACGACTTAAAAGAAATGACAATCAATAAAACACGTGTTAGCGCGTGAAATGAGTTTCCAAAAAGGTATAGCATGACCCGATACGAATAAAACTAGAACTACGCGCTCTCAGCGCCAACTAGCGAAAATACCGCAAGACTTTTTTGACAACCTAATATTTCGAAAAGAGTAAACAGGTGTAAAAATTAGCAGAAAATTAACTACGGTTAAACCGAAGATATCAGACTTCACAAATAAAATAAAATTTCCATAAAAGAACTTGTTTTTGCTTATTTAGTTGTAATGGCAGTTGTACGCCATAGTGGTCCGATATCAGCGGACCCGAGAGCTTTTTAGGGAGGGCGTGGTCAAATCTCCGATCAATATCTCCAAACCTAAGAGACTAAATCAGGTATATACACAGACATGACTAAGCCGACTTAATCGTCACGCTAATCATGTATACTATAAGTATATATATTTTATTTTAAAGGGTCTCTGACGTTTCGTTCTGGGTGTCACAAACATTGGGGCAAACTTACCGTGCGATTCTGTACTGTGATACAGTATCAAGTATCAAAATTTGACAGAGAAAATTTTTGAGACTTGAGACGATTTTGCTATTCTGTAAGTGATAGTCACAAACTCTGTTACATTTCATTATTCAGAGATGTTTTTGTACTCGAATGAAAATAAATATATCGATAACAAATATTAAATTTTCTATAACATAGTCAAAAAACATAATTATCAATAAAAATAAAAAAATATGTTGACTTCGTTTCATAATATTAACGAAATTTATGTAAAATTTATTTATTTCTAACCTTTTTGTGTTTGCTTACAGAATATAAAAAAACGACAATCGATTAATATCTATGGTGATCTCTATTCAGTATATTCAAAATGGCAGACAAAAGTTCTTTTTGGTTTTGTGACTTGCTAACTACCAGGTCTCAAATTTGAGGCAATATTTTGAGACTAAAGCTAGAGACTGTTTTGTGAATAGTAACTAGTCACAAATTGAGATTTTACCACAAAATGTCTCAAATAGAGACTAGAGATTGGTTACAGAATCCCGCTATTAATATCAGGTTATAATTTTGTTCAGCGCTTACATTAAGCGTTCATTTCCGGACAAAAGCAACAAAAGTTTTCGCGTGTTGATCTAAGAAAAAATACTATGTTACTTGAATTGTTTAATATTTGTGAAACAGTAAAAATAATTATGGTCCAAGAAATTAAACGATGATATCAATTAAATTTGGATCGAAAACATTGCTTATTAAAAGTAACCGTATTTGGAACACATCCGATAACTTACAATATATATTATTACTTCTCTAAAAATATTTGCATGCATCCCATATAATTGACATACCTTGACGTCCTACTATTTCGGCAACGTGTTCGGAGCTGGGCACTGGCACACATTCTGTCATATTTTGGGATCTCTTAGAACGATCTTCTATTGTAGGTGGTAATAGTAGTGTTGGCATCGAAATATTAGTAAATGATGTACTACTATTTCTACTTGTTAAACCATTTATATTAATTTGACTAAAACCATTGGCGGTAACTGCAGAAACAGTAGGCTGAATACTTTTATTTGTATCAATATCAACTTTTTGATTCAGCTGTTCATGTTGCGAGTTTGCAATTGGTTGGTGTGCTAGTTCGTGTTGATTAATAGCATTGTTAGATTTTTCACGGTTGTTTAAAGAACTTAACGATGGTCGTTCTGTGGCCGATTCATTTACTCTACCGACTGATAATTCCCAAGCTAGTTGTAATGTTCGCTGATCTCCATCTGCATCATGTTGTTGTGACCGTTCTACTGAAACTAGGCTATTGAAAGCTAGCTGAGAAGATGCTCTAGAAGGCGTGGATAGTATATTAATATTTGTAGATATGGGCGCGGGCATCATAGTTGTTGTTGAAGATATAGACGTGGCTTTTATGGACAACAGGTTTGAGGAGCAAACATTTGGCGAAAGCACTTTTAGATTTGCTTGTGTTGCTGCCATATCTAAATATGCTTTACTTATAGCTCACGAAAGCAGTTACGATTTATGTGCCTGTGTAAATTTTCGTACGAACTTCACCTGATGATTGAAAAGATGATAATAACTATTGATATACCAACCATAAATCACAATTAGATAACAATTGCGATATCGCAGTATATATTTATTGTTGCTGGGAATGTGTTGTGTAATGCAATTCAAAATTGCTTTATAATTTTAATCGATTGTATTTTAACCTAAAATAAGGAGTACTACAGTAAAAAATAAGAATAACAAGCAAATTGTTACTAACACTAAAATACCTATGGCAAAAAGGCATAAGAGAATACATTAATACGTTTTTACTTACCATTTTGGGAGTCGACAAATCAAAACTAATTTAATTAACTTAATAACATGTATTAGATACCTCACGGCCAGCTTATGGGATTTACCTTCATACTGAGTTGACAAATTCGCTAAGTAATAGCCTTTTTGCATAATCTAATTAATGTAGTACATTAAGATAATAATTGGGAAGCCAGAACAGCTGGCTCCTCGATCAACGATCAGCTGTTAAATTTCTTTCACCCTTCGAAAGTTCCGCCCACACGTCCGTTCAACGCCTCGCACTTAAAGAATGTCTCAAAACTCAATTTACGGTAGAAACGATTTCTTCAAAAGTTATGAAGCGATTTTGTTTAATTGTACACACATCTTTAAAATAACCTTATCTATGATCAAATTGAAAGGCGAATTTTGTCCATTTCATCTCCTTGAAATTAATCCCCTTCCGCTGCAATACACTTGTGCGAAAGAAATTTCCAGTCATCATAGCACTTGGCCTTCTTCGATTCATAAAAATATCCTAATATCGATTTATAAAAATATCCTCAATTGAGTTAAAATGGTGTCCTCGGAATGGTCATGTGAATTTGCTGAATTGCTAGAATTTACACGAAGGCGAATCAGGCGAAAGCGGTGGTTGCGGCACGATATTAGTTGAAAATGTGACGAAATGATCACGAATATCCAATGCAGTATGAGATGGTGCATTATTGCACTTCTCTATTCAATAAATTTAGACGTAGTAAAAATTGAAGAATTCACTTTAAGAGAATATGACGTTAAATTTAGCATAGATAGTGACATCAAGCAGTACTACCAACTTACAGAGAAAAAGAAAAACACGCGAAGTATAAATTAAAAATTAACCTTTCAATTTGTAGTAGTATGTTTATTACACTAATTTTTCGAACTAATACTGGCAAAAATTTTGCCAAAAAAGCTAGTCAAACATTAAAATTTTAATTAGTACTTTTCCTTAGTCCAATAAGGAGATTTATACATGTGGGATAAGCCTCCTTAACATTCCATATAAGGTTCTTTCCAGCGTATTGTGTGAAAGATTAAAGCCCACCATCAACAACCTAATTGGACCTTATCAGTGTGGCTTCAGACCTGGAAAACCAACAACCGACCAGATATTCACCATGCGCCAAATCTTGGAAAAGACCCGTGAAAGGAGAATCGACACTCACCACCTCTTCGTCGATTTCAAAGC